AGAGAGAGAGAGAGAGAGAGAGAGAGAGAGAGAGAGAGAGAGAGAGAGAGAGAGAGAGAGAGAGAGCTCGCGCGCAGGCACCGGTGCAAGCACGTGGTATTGGGCGGATATCTACGCGTCGACGCATGACGTCATTTATCGAGTTTACTATAACAATGCTCGACAACTGACGACAGCACGCGGCAGCCTGTCCGCATCGTACGTGAAGTGACAAGCTCCTGTGAGTGCGACTGAGAGCTCTGTGAGAGCTCACAGAGCTTGAGCTCTCACAGAGTCGATCTCACAGAGCTTGAGCTCTCACAGAGTCGATCTCACAGAGCACTCACAGAGCTTGAGCTCTCACAGAGTCGATCTCACAGAGCTTGAGAGCTCAAGCTCTGTGAGAGCTCAAGCTCTGTGAGATCGACTCTGTGAGAGCTCTGTGTGATCGACTCTGTGAGAGCGATCATGCTGCCGCTGGCCGAACGTTCAGCCGCGACGTGGCGCTACGGAGTTGCGCGTTGCAAGCTGCTGCGCGCAGCATTTCTGTTTTTCGCTGTCATCGCGGTTACGCTGGTCGCCTTCTATAGAACATCGCAGCCAGACCGACCCACGACACGGTCCGCTAAGAATGGTACGTCGTTGCCAATCGAGTTCGCAAGTACTATCATCAACGACAATGTGAAACGAAATAATTCCGCGACGACGGCGATGGCGGCGGCGGCCGGTAACAAGGCGATTGGTGGAAAACAGGGAGTTATTCTCAGCGTCGACTTCAAAGGCGGCATCGGCAACCAGCTTTTCATGTACGCCGCCCTAGCGGGAATCGCCGAAGAGTTGGGTTTTGACGCTCGTATACCGGACACTCTTCCCGTTCGCAGCATGTTCAACCTGACGCTAAACACGATTCCTGATCAATGGGAGGCAACCAACCGACCGGTGATGCTCATGGAGGGAAAGAAATTCGGCTCTCGCGATGAGAGCCTGCTATTCCACCTCTCAGAGCTGCGGGGGATAGGGAAGGGAAGGAAATGGAAGGGAAGGGAAGGGAAGAGGAAGGGAAGTGACGCGGTCATCTACGGCTACCTGCAGAGCTGGACATACTTCAGTAACATCTCGGAAAGACTCCGCCGCGAGTTGACCTTCAGAGATGAGATCGGTGACGAAGCGGCGCGGATTCTACGCGCATGCAGACGCGGTAACGACGGCAGCCCGCTGGTCGGCATACACGTGCGCAGAGGTGACCTTCAAGCTCTACACAGCGAGGGTTACCGCACAGGCGACGTCGATTTTTTCCGTAGAGCGATCGCGCATTTTCGTGGCGGCGACCAAGACGGCGGGCCGACGCCGACGCCGACGTTCGTTGTTGCTAGCGACGACGTCCAGTGGTGCGTGGAAAATCTGCAGAACTTACATCCGTCGATCGTCTTTCTCACCGGAAACACTGCGGCCGTCGACATGTCGGTTATCTCGCAATGCGATCACGTGATCTATGACGTCGGCTCGTACGGCTGGTGGTGTGGTTGGCTGTCAAGCGGACAGGTACTCTACATGGAGAATTTTGCTGAACGCGACAGCAAAATCGCACGCGGAACAATTAGAGAGGAATACTTTTTGCCGCAGTGGCTCGGGCTCTGATATTTAAATTACTCGATGATGTATCATTTTTGTTACTTTATACAGAATTCAGACTCGATGCGGAGATTCATCTTGTCTGTATATTGCGACAGAAAGAAGAGATATCATATTGATAATCTTGATGAAATAAAATGTGTTAAAATAACTAAATTTATAGTGTAATTAAACGTTTGAATTGTTCCTTCTCGTTTTGTCAAGTATATTATATATATATATATATATATCAGGAGTAGATAATAGGGATAATAGGATCATAGGGATAATAGGAGACTCCTGATATATATATATATATATGCCATCATAATAATAAACAATAAATTAACCTGTAATATGTAACATTATATATGGTTATGTGATGTGATTTATATAATATATGATAATGTACATGTACGACAATATGAATGTTGGCGCATCAGGGTTGTGTTAGAGTGAGTCTGTGCGCATCCCGCCGTGAACGGTTGGGCTATAGTACGTAATAAGCTGCTGTAATCCTCCACCATTTCATGTATTACTGTTTGATATATATAGCGATCGAAGTGCGTCACAAATATCCGATTACTATATATATATATATCCGTCGCTCTCAAGCGAGTGTTCGCATCTGCTCCATAGAAATTAATTGCTTATCATTCGTTCTTAGTAGATTCTAGGGATATAAGTTACGTTGGAGTATAGATTTAAAGTACGACATTTAGGTCTAGAAACATATATATATATATATAAATATATATATATATATCTCAGAAGATATAGATATAGATATATCTCAGAAGTAGATAATAGGGAACCCTAATAGGGAACCCCCTATTCCATATTATCTACTCCTGATAAATAAAATATATATATATATATATATAGATAAGATATGATAAATATGATGGATAGATAGATAGATACGATAGATAGATAGATAGATAGATAGATCGATAGATAGATAGATAGATAGATAGATAGATAGATAGATAGATAGATAGATAGATTTATATATATATCAAGAGTACATAATGGGAGATTCCCCATGTTATGTACTCTTGATATATATCATATACTACAGGTGCTGTGTCGGAGTCTGGGTGCTGGAGCCGCGTATAAACTACGCGGCCGAGTACAATCATGTTTGGTTTAAGGCTTAAGACATTTTCGCTTACGTCAAAAGCTTTTGTACAATCACGGAAAACCGGTTACTCAATGAGCGCATCGAGAAATAAAACAGTAACTTCATACGGCTACACCATAAATTGTTCCACACGGAGCGATATTTCTACAATCAGTTCATTGTACCCTATGTTCATTCAGGTACGCTTTCATATTATAGTTTCATATAGTATATACCCTTTCATATAGTTTCCACAATCAGTTCATTGGGCTGACCTGCATCTGCCTAACCTAAAACACGCTACATCGCGCACGCAATTAACCTGCCATTTATAACCTACATGCTAATTACACTGCACCTAACCCAACCCAGGCTAATTACAGCCAAATCTAGCTAAACTTACTACTTTATGTAAACATCTGTAAAACACATGTTACAATTGCACCCTATGTTCATTCAGGTAAGCTTTCATGTAGAGCATCACCGAGATTATTAGGAAACGTACATTTGCTTGTAATAATTATTTACTTTATCATGCAGTATTCTACAGTATAGATGCGATGTTATTGTTAACATACGCTAACTGTCATCGTCTTATTTGCTACTTCATGACGAAGATGTATTGTAGATTGTAGTAGATGATTTTATAGAAAATTGAAATTAAGTGTATAATTTGTAAACTCGAAGTAGTATTATTATTATTATTATAATTATTTATTATTTATTTATTTCTATTGTGCCTTTTTACATAAAATGATCAAAATTGCAGCATAATAAAAGTGTACAGTGAGATATATCGCTAACTGAGAGATAAAATGATATTAAAACAAAGTTGACTATATGTAATCATTAAAATCCTATATAAACTCTATAATCTAAAATCTAAATCTATATTTTATCACTAATATCCTAGATAAAATCCTATACATCAAAAGCTAATTGAAAGAGACGCGACGGATTGCGGAGTGTCGACGGAAGTTCGTTCTATAACTTCGGTGCTGCTCTGCTAAACGAGTGGACCTAAACGAAGTATGTAATAAACGCCACCGCGTTTCTACGCCCCACTGCTGCTGCTGCTGCTGCTGCTGCTGCTGCTGCTGCGGCTGCTGCTGCGGCTGCTGCTACATATTGAGGCCGTGCTACGGATATCGCAAGGACTGAGTATAAACCTCCAGCGAAAACGACACAAAAGAACACAGCACTGTTTAAAACTATAAAACAACACATAATAGCAAACTTACGCCTGCATGGCTGAGATTCGCAAAATAAAATATGAAAAAGCTGCTACTAAACCAGTGCATGTATAATTTTGTGTTACAATGAATGGTAATTAACGCGTAATCTCTCTCTATATTATTTAGGCAAAGATGTTATAGCGTGGATAGAGTGTAGCGGTCGCTGAAATATGGCAACATGTTCTGCTTGCATCTATGACAAATACGACTTATTCTTAATTTTCTATTCTCAATCCTAGATCCTATTTGCGGTCTTGTAGCACGAATTATGTTTGTCCATGCTGTGAAGAGTTTATAATATCGAATGTCGGTTAACATATACGCATGACTTGGTTGTTTTTTTCATTGCCAATTTACCAAATAATGTGTATGTCCTAACTTGCCTTGCAACCTACTTATTATCTGTGATTCGCGGGTATACGCATGGGAGGGGTTGCACATATAGTAGACAAACCGTACCAAAACTCCAGTTGATAACCGCCCCTAGCTGTAACTCGATTGGATCGCAGTATTGGTGATTATAAGGGTGAGGAATCCCTTATCTCCA